GGAGGCAACTACTGCCTTGGTTGCTCCGGAGGCAACTACTGCCTTGGCTGCTCCAGAGGCAACTGCCTTGGAGGAAACTGCCTTGGCTGCTCCGGAGGCAACGGCAACTGCCGTGGAAGCTGCCTTGGCCCCTCCGGAGGCAACTTTCACTGTTCTGGAGGCAACTGCGTTCGCTGCTCCGGAGGCAGCTGTGTTTGTTGATCCACGATAGTCCGCAATGACTTCCGCAATGGTGCTCATCCCCGGCATCACCCTCGAACTCATCACAAAGTTAAACTGGCGAAGCCACGTATCACGCCTCTCTGCAGCTTCCTTGGCCAGCGATAAACACTCATCAGCCGAGGCCACAGCATGTTCAAAGGCCTGCTGCACTTTGCTCACCAAGGGCATGGTTTTGGACAGCAGCATGTCATATTTCTCCTGAAGATGCGTGTATGGAAAATGACAACTGCAGCCCCGTACGTACTATATACTTTCTTGGGATTTTTGTCATTCACTGGAAGCCGCCTACCAGCCACCAGGAAGAAATGAAATCGAGAAGAAGCGACTTGTGTCATCAAACCCAGGTAGCAAAGGATTGCCAAAAAAAGAAAAGTTGAAAGCTTAGGGCCCCAGGCCACAAGCAAATGGATGAGGATAGCAATCAAGCCCCCATGTGAAGGAGACGATGCTAAAAAAGGTAGATCCTGAAGTGATGCTGAACTTGCTGGTATTGACTCAATGCGGTTTCACATCTGTGTGCATGATGATTTGGGATCATTCGGGTTGAGGCCAGGTACTGCCATTTGGCGGCCGAGGAATGATCGAGATAGCCAAGCTCCAAGTCAGGGAGCCACTCGATTAGACATGCAGGTAGCTCAAACTTCCATGCGTGGCTTGCTAGAATCCTAAATCCCATCAGAATGCCTAATGCTAGGTAGTGGTGGGGTTGATGGGTCTGACCCCCTACCCATTCACCAACCAACATGCTAAGGAAGCTTGGGCGACTGTGTTTCCTTCCATTCCCTGACAGGTCCTCGAATTTGCAAGCTCTTTGTTCAATTCGCTCGGCCATTGCATTCATTTGGGTAATGTCGCGGTCGCTGATAAGTTTCTTCAAATATTCAATGTCTTTTTGAATGCCAGTGTCCAAGTTTTGCAAGGACAGCACACGGCGCTCCGAGATGTCATTATTGAGAAAGTGCCTCAGGTTCGCAGCCTCAGGGGAACCGTTGATGCTGAGCATTTCATGCGTCAACTGCCTGAAGGCCGCGATTTGCTTTGCGCGAGTTGAATGGCTGCTAGCATATTCCTTAGTTGGGAGTGCCTAAAACAACAACAAAACTCAATGTCGTATATTAAATAGACAAAGAGACAATTTTAAAACACACACACATATATATATATATATACATAGCGGCAAGGCACATGTGACATACTAGTTATTAGGGTATCCCGGTAACCCATATATAGTCCATCCATCTATTGAGGGTAGTCCGTCCATTTTGGGACTACGATGGACGCCAAGACTCCGCATGAAGCACAGTTCGAATCCTCGTCTGCACACATGCCGGCAGGCAAGCCAACACTTCCTCCACGGCAGACATTTGGGGGCTCTCGATCGCATCCATGGTGAAACTGCTTACCATTTCCCTGCCCTCGGAAGATTCAGCCATTGCCAGGCTCCGGCCAGCAGGCACCCCTTCGGCGCTACAGTGCCAAGGCCAAAGCCAAAGGCTCTCATGCAAGCTAACTCAGCAAATGATCGGAGGCTGTTTTTCTATATTTTTCTATATAGTAAGTTCGGCGCCGTTAAGTTTGAGACTGAGCATCATGGTTGATCCCCGACAAGGCTTAACCTAGAGTGAGTGTATCTCCCTGCTCTCGCAGGTCGCAACAGCGACCGCTTGATCTCGTGGTTCCTGATCTCTGAACCATCTTTCTTGTCAATACCTTTCTTCCTCCTTCGACTCGACCCTCAACCCTCCAGCACAGCTGAGCCCTCTTGGATACCACACGCGTGCCGCAGAGGCTCAAGGCACGCAGGGCGGTCAATCATGGCTCCCCGCGGCTCTCCAGGACAACTCTGCTGCGTCTGCTGTCAATATCCTATATTCCTACATCCCATCTAGTCCACCTCCTTCGGAATGGCATGCCTTCGGGGCCCCTTCACGTCCTCAGAATTTTCCGTGTCGTTCCGAAGATCCATCTTCCAAGCAGAAAGGATCGTGACCTCCGGTATACGTGTCCCCAGGGTCGTCTTCATGGCATGTCAATGATCGTCCATGCCGTGCTGAGCTGTCCTTCTGCAGCCTTGTCTTGCAGCGCAAGTAGTCTGACAAGGGAGTTGTGGTGTGTTTCAACTTCCTGCATCATCTTCTCCTCTAGTTGGCATAGCAGCAACCTTCACATGACACTTGACACTAGAAATTAACTTTCAAAAGGCTTGGTAACAACATGTCTCACATGAATTGCACTCATCTGCATTCCATACATTGCCATACATCGAGCAAAAATCCGCCCCGGCACAGCCGCCCGGCCCACCGGGGAACATGCCGAATCGGCGTGTTTGGAGCCCAGCCCAGCCCCTCTCTTTTTCACTCTACGGGCTCGGAGCTCAGAAAGTCCTGCTTCAAGGCCTCCGCCGCTGAGAGGCGCTTCTCCGGCTGCGCAGCCAGTAAGCCTTCCAGCCTGCGCTAGCCATCGGTGCAGCTCGTGCAGCTTTCCGGTGGCAAAGGCGTGGAATGGGGTGAGGTCAGGAAGTCCTGGCAAACCGACCTTTTTCCAGGGCCAGTCCTTTATTGGTGACATTCCAAGCTGCCATGTAATGTTGGGACAAAGGATTCATTTTACTCCAACACTTTGTTGGGGGCAGGGGGCCTCAACCTGTGCGCACATAAAACAACATGCCCCTAACATTGGAGCTTACCTCGGAACGTCCATAGCACACAGAACACCCTTTCTCGTGGCGCTACACAGGCATGGCTGCGTGCTGCAAATAACATCTGCAGCAAACAAACTTCTCAAAAGCCTGAACCTCTGAAGAGCAAACAACAATCTCGTGAATCTTCTGTATACACCATGCCCTCGTAGACTCCTCCCAACTGCGCTCACTCCAAGGTCCCCCGCAGTTTCAGAAAGCTGCCATGTTGTGGTAGGACCCGCTGCTCCAAGGGCTGAGCCAAATTCAAGAGCTCTTGTGCCTCCATTTGGTGGAGGAGGACATGATTAGGCCACAAAGAGGAATTTGAAAGGGTGGGTGCGAATAGTCTCCATCTTGCTTACTACTGACACTACACGGCACCGGGATTCATAAATGCTGTTGTCATTTTCCGTTCCTCTTGGCTTCGGCCTATCAATCTTTTCACCCTGTTCACATCTATTGGGCATCCTCCAAGGCGAAATGGTCGGCACACCACAGCAGCACTGAAGGCCCGCCTCATCTGACAACTTCCGTTGGATCTGCAAGCCGCCTCAGGACTGACACAAGCTCCATCTGTCCGTCCGTGACGCAGTCAGTCTGTGGCCGGTTGCTTCATGCGTGGCCTGTGGGCGGTCCCCCAGGGGGGTCTGAAAGCCATCAGTGCAGGTAAATGGCGATTCCGAGGTCAGCAATATCTCTACATATTGTGAGAAGGCCCAGGGGTGATTCTCGGATGAAAACCTCCATCAATCGTGAGACTTGATCAAACTGCCGGCAGGATCGCTGCACCACAACGGGTGGGCGATGTCCAAACCTTTCCGAATCATAAAGTATAAAGCCAGGCCTTAACAAACAAAGAACGATTGCCAAGCCAAGGCCATTTTGCCAAGGATATGGCAAAGTCGTTTCCTTTTGTCGACATGGAAAACGCCTTTGCTCCCATAAACTGACATGCATGCACCAAGCCCAAGCCCTCCAGCCTCGACTATCCACCACTACATCCTCGGGGAGGCTACCACCTGGTCAATGGTGCCCCGGTCCGTGTGCTGAACTGGACCAGGTGTTGCTTAAAGACATGGGATGTTCAACGCTCAGAAGCAATATGAAGCAATCTGTTTTGACACGCTTGGCTTCACTAATGATTTCAATCTTCACCAGCAGAAAACTGCCACATTCCTTTACCAACCAAGCACTACAACCATAAGGAACAAAATCACCCGTACACACAAGAACATTTGAGGAAGAGTTTCCTGGGGCTCCCCCAACATGATAGAACCTCATTTAACATGACTTTTTCTGAATCCTCTATGGTCCCAGACCTGCAGCGGCCAGCTTCACCATGTCTTTGGGCAAATTGCCTCAAAGTCCAAGAAAGACACATCAGGAGGTTTCAACATGTTTCAACCACTACACTACACCCCTGATTGACTCATTGGAACCGTAGGGATGCACCTTATAGCACGTACCTTATAGGTCGCATTACTAGCAGGGTCTTGTGGGATGGTGAACATGACCCGGTTCCCAAAGGGAGTGGAGCTTGCGACGATTCTTGATTAGGCAAGCTAGACACAGAGCTGCAGGCTTGTGCACATGTGCAGGTTTTATGGCTTTTTCTACGGAGAAATCCCTGTGTCCATGGGCTAGGGATATTGAAGAGCGCTTGGAGCCATGCCTCTGTTGTTGGGTTCTTGCAGGAGTTTTGGCAATGCGAATGCTGCAGATTCTGATGCTGCAAAACCCGTGCGGTTGGTGACAAACATCCAATAACATTGGAAACTCAGGCGTGCTACCAGCCTGGCCCTCCGTTCAGAACTTGAACGTTTCTGACCACTCCTGGTCTCGGGAAACAAATTGCAACTTAGGGGGCAATTCCTTCAAAGAGTGTAACCCAAACACTTCATGGGACTGCCATCTTTGCCCATCAGTTCGGGTGCTTTGGGAAGGTCTTTCTGGGCAGAATGTATGTCTTTTCTGGTGCTTTATTCCAATCCCAGACGGGTTGTGTCTGATGGTGTGTGCGTACTTCTGCATCCTGCCAGCTGCTGCTAAGCCCCCCCCCCATCTCATACTGAACCACGCGGTTCAGGTGCCGATGACCCGTTGCATCAGCGCCAGGTGTTGCAGGCTGCTCTGCACGGGGAAGGGTCGTTGCCCAGTGTAGAGCGTCAGTAGGATGCAGCCCAGACTCCAGACCTCAGTCTGAGTCAGATTCGCCGAACCTGAGGTACGACGAAGGAGGTGTAGGGAGAGTTCGGTGAACCGAAGGAGCTCCATCTGTTCTGGGGTGCGGGGGACTGTGAGAGTACAGTTTTCTCCCCTGTTCTTAACCTTCTTTTTGGGCGCTGGAGTTTCCAACATGAGCAGGTGATCTCCACTGATTGGGTAGGTGAATGTGAAAAGAGAGACAAAGAGAGAGAACTTGTGGGGTTTGTTCATGCGAGATCCTGAGATCACACCCGTGAGATCCTGAGATCGTGAGATCGCAGTTGGCTGTTCTTAGAGGATCTCTTCAAAGACCGTAGGCCAAATGTAGCCAACAACTACCATCCCCCGGATCACCGACCCATTGGCACCTCCACTACAAGTACATTCCCTGGAAAATCCTCATGGAAGTGGAAGACCACAAAGGTGGTGAACTCCACCAAAAGCCCGTGATTATACCAGGGTGAGTCCTGAAACAGTGTCTTCTCGCCGTAACAGGCGACAAGATGAGCTTAGCTGGCTAGCCCGACGCTTCAGAGCCGGGCCGCGTCCGTCTTCTCATCCCAAGCAAGGCCCAGAACGACTTCAGGTGAACGATACTGCCTGGTGCCAATGTGCCTGCTATGCCGCTCCTTCTTCAACCTGTGGCGAGTATGGCCGACGACCAATATCTCTGATGCCGATCTGCATGATGTCATGAGTATTGGTGACCGTAGAGCCCCTTCTAACAACTGACAACGCTTCAGAATAAAAGCCAGTTGAATAGTTAACATGAAAACAACAGGTACACCGGATTAAATGTTTAAGTTGTGCCAATGGAAGAACGCACGCACATATTTGTTCCCAGGATATGTCCTGCAATCCATTTCTGTGACCGAAGCTTTTAGAACGTCTTCCGCGTTACGCAGCTGCGTTTCACCCGAGTGCGCGACACAGCTCCGCCGAAGTCAATCACACGGATTTCCTGGGTGTCAAGCTGACAACTTGTACTGTTGGGATTGCCACTTGTACTGTTGGTGATGTTCAAAACAGTGTGAATGCACTTCTGGGCATTGCTTTCTACTGGTGCAACCAGTAGATTTGCATAAATGAAATCACTGTAGGGACCATTCTGTTGGCCTCTACTTGTCCCTCCACCCCTGAGACTGTCTTTGAAAGTCATCCAAGCTGCACATCTGCGCAACCTTTTCAGTTCTTGCCCATCTTTGCGTGGATGGGGCACCTGAGTCCAAGCACTGGAATATATATATATATATATTCACATATATATCATATCTATAGATAGAAGCCTATAGAAGCACCTGGCGCTTGAATTCTTGGGCCGAAAGGATCTACTTGAGAGACATGAGAAGGGACACTCTTCTGGTACCTGCGTGGATGTGCCTACCCTGGGTGCCAAACCGCAAAAATAGATCTCTCTGACTCTGTCTGAGCAAAGGCATTTTCGCTACATGCCGGCGAGAGGCCATATCGCCACGGGAGTCCTTCAACATGGCATTCCGACATTTGATGTCCTCAGAAATCGCTGGGTGGCACTCGCTTCGTCGCATGGAACATGGCACCCCTTCACCCAACGATGAAGCTTTTTCAGTAACAACTGTTGGGAGCCAGCGTGCAGCAGGATGTGGGATCTGAGAATCAAGAACTGATCTACAGATCTACACGACTGTTCTTTGAGCCAGCTAAACTTGAAAAAGCTTCCTCCATTTCTTTAGAGCTGGAGGAAGTTTCCGATCGGGGTTGGGTATGCTTGGGAAAGATGCCGGGCGTCGGTATGTGTGAGGCCCATGGCACTCAGAAAATGGAGGCACTGCAGCATCTGGGATCCAATCGTTCGGATGTCTCCTCAGTGCTGAGCAAAGCAAATGTGGCGTAACATATTTGGGAGGTTTGACTGTTCAAAGGATGAGTGGAAGAATAGGACACATGGCACTCGTGTACAATTTTAGTCAGTTTAAGTTTTATATTTATAGTTTAAACTTAACTCAGAACCAAGTTCAGGAAAGGCTCTCAGTAGTAGTCCGCGATCATCAGTGTCTCCTTAGACCAAAGCCACATGTCCTATCAATGGCCCTGCCCCATGTAGCCAAAGGTCTTGAGGGAGATTTGAGTGGCACCGCTTTACATCTCTTGACCCGCGGTCTGATGTGACATGTCTGGTGGCACCATGTCTTCATGCCAATGGGTCTAGTCCCGGAGTCTTTTTTGCACCGTTCTCCCATTTTGGATTCAAACGGACTGCTTTCAGCACAAGTCACGCATGAAATCAGAGAGGCTGATGTCCAAGAGCTCCTGGGCGAATGGAGGCATTGCTTAAGGCCCATGGCACTGGAGCCCTATCATCACAAGGAGGCCTGTTCGAGGAGTCATGGATCTAGACGTTTGAAGCCACTGGTGGCTTTGGAAGTGCCAACCATGCACCCAAACATATTATGGATATTTCATGATGTTTCTGCTGATCAGTACTAATCAGGTGTCAAGGAGTTTCCACACCAGTCATTCCTTTCTCATTTAGCCTGACAAAAAGAAAGACCCCAGACTCAGACGCCGATCCCAGCACTCAAAGCGTTCCACCTGAAAAGCCGCCAGATGCCACCAAGCGGCAAAGACTAAACAGCAATGCGCCACGGCATGGGTGAACTCCCCCAGGAGCTTCACGCAGAAGCTCTGCCGACCCGGGTCACCTCACCAGGCGTGCGATGGCGCGCATGGCAAGAAACGGCGCGCACGGCGTGCACGGCGAGCATTGTGCACGCCATGGTGTTGGAGAACGGATTGATCTGAGAATGGTGGAAGAGCCAAGTGGCCCCCAATTTTGATGTGGAACATGTCGTCATGGACACACGTGAAAGTACCGGCAATCCAAGTGGCATCTTAAGATCTCTCTCAGCAGCTCCGCTTCTGCATGTGCATGCTCTTTATACCGCGGCACTCCTCGCAAAGAGAGTCGGCCATTCTGGGGGAGCAGCATGAATCAGAAGGATGAAAGGCCATGCTTGCCCAGTCGAACACACGCATCTCCCAGGTGAGCCAAACGTGAACAAGAAAACCATCCCTAGGGATCCAAGTAACCTTCTCAGAAGGTGATTGGAGACACTGTTATGTAGGTTTGGAGGGTCCAAGTACCTTCTGAGAAGGCACTTGGATCCGTAGGGCATTGAAACCCATTGGTTCTGCAAGTGTGTTGGCTCACCAGGCGGGTTGTATGGATGTTGTCGAAGCCGTGTCTCTGCCGGACCCTCCGGTTTGGCGGAACAACTCCACTTGGCGCTTGATGCGGAACCGCCTTCTGCTTCCGTGGCAATCATAGGAACGAAGCATGGGACTGGAAGGATCTGGAAGAGTTGAACTTGGGCCATCAATGGGGTAGGGCTCAAGATTGCTGAAGCTTTCCCAGATCTACTTGTAGCCCCAGTCTCTGCGAGGAGACGCCATCAATGATTCCATACATGGAATGTCTGGGATAGTTGAACCATCCTTCAAAGCCGACTCATCTTTGTGACAAGTCGCCTCCCAAAAAAAAAGTGAAATGCCATGTCCAACAAAGGATGTTTCACAAGGGGACGGGACTAACGGAAATGCAGCTACACTGGATTTAAATCCTGCTACCCTAGGTCCATCCAGGTTTGTCAAAGTATGGCCACTTTGCGCGTTGAGCTCACTGTTTTTTTTTCAATCCTGTTGCGGTGAAACGCGCCGCATGATTGAGCCTATGTACATGACATGTGATCTTTTTATGAAGCCATTCTGGGATTTGCCCTTTGGGCGACATCCGCTGTAGCATCAAATAATGTTGATTCAAGGCGAGATCAGCCAGAATAACACACAACATGCGATTAACATCATTCATTTGTTCAGCAAATGTTATAATTCAACTTTCTTCAGAAAGCTCCATCTACCCTCAATGGGTTTCTTGTTTGGCTCTCTGAGCTTCACGAATCAAAACTTAACGCCAGCTTTCGCAGGCACTCTGCCTGCAGCTCAAGCAGCTCGGCGGAGGCATTCTTCCCTTTGCGGTAGAAGCTGGTGTTCGGAATGGCATGCCACCCGCCGTCGCGCAGTTCATAGCCCATCTGGCGCATCATGGCCAGGCGGAAGTCCCAAATCATCCGATTGAGCATCTCAGCGCCACCGAAGTCGCTCATCATCAGCTCACGGATTCGTTCCTCATCCTCCGGAACCGAACACCGAGCATTTTCGGTGAAGACTTGCAGGCTTTCCTTGCTTCGGCTTGATTGTGCCACGATGTAAGCAAAGGAACAGGCTGCTTTCGTTGGAACACCGTCCAAGGTGGCCTTCCCGATCTCGAAGACGCACCACAAACGTTCGTAGACCTCTGAAGCGGACGTATGGATCACGACCATCCCTCTGGCTTCATCGAAGGCTTGTTGGCTCAGCTGATTCATTGTTGACAAAACTCGGCCAAAGGGATCCAGTTCCAGCTGCTCTTGAATAGTGATGACGTCACCCGGCTGGTACATCGAAAACACACAAAACCAGCAAGCAGTGGCCTCCGTGATCGTATAGCGTGCGAAGTGCAACATCAACGCCTCAGAACACTCATCGATCTCCTCTGCCCAGGCATGTGAAATCATCACTTCTGCTGCTAGTGGCTGAGGGTTCAGGAGCAACGCCACACTGTTGCCAGTGCCCAGGGTCCAGGGTTTGACAAACAAATCGCAGATCTTGTACATGTCGACCTTCTCTTCTTGCACCAGCGCCTGGTAGACCTGCGTCGCCTTACACGCACCCAGGAAGCCATGGAACTGCGTCGCGGACATGGCCCACCGCTCGGGCGGCACGGCCGAATTTCCAGGTCCCTCCAGCGGCAGCCACCTGGGCCGTTCCGCTTCTGCAACGCCTTGTGCAACGCCTCGTTTCGGTGAGAAGACACCGAAAGCGGCCTTGTTCTTACGTGGCGAGCCACCGGCCGCCTTGGGCGTCTCGTTGAGGGTGAAGCGTGACTGCTTCGATCGGTCCAGTCGTTTCATGGAACATGTGAAGAACTAAAAGGATACACAAAGCATGTCTATACAAACGTGAATGACAAAGACCTGCGGTAGGTGGTTGGACCAAAAGGCAACGCATATACCGCGCTGACCCAACGTCAGATGGTTTCTCTTTGGCATGAGTTAGCAAGGTACTATCAATTTCAAGCTTGGACAGGCGCGTCCTTTAAAACAATGAGAGGAATTCTCCAATCTGGCAACAGCACGTGGTTAAATATGTTAAATGGAGGCAGGCTGATGAACACAGGGTGAAAAGACCACACACCACCACCCTAAACCAACACAATCAAGAAGTTCCAGCGGCAAAAGAGTTGAGGGGACCGTGAACAATAGGCAGTGGTTCACTTGGCAGGTATGTAATCCGGATCAGGTGATGGAAAGAAAAGTGTAAGAGCAACGGAAAGCGCCGGCCACACTGAAATTTTCAGCAAGTCTGCTCCTCTGCTTCTGCTGGTGCTTTTGAAAAATGGAGGTCGGAACGAAGCTCAACCCCCCAAAAACACATAAATCCCACTTGGTCTCCGGATCTCCGTGCCCACTGGCCCCACTCCCGCTCACCGAACTTGCACCGACCTCGGCCCGACGACGCCAACGCCGCGGTCGTCGCGGCCTTTGACGACCTTCACCGCCACCGCGTGCTTGGTGGTCTCATCCACGCACGCGAGGACGCGGCCGAAGGAGCCTTCGCCCACCTGACCGGGTGACACGGGTACCACGGTGGACGGTGCAGGAAATGCGTTGCGTGTCCCGTGTGGAGGTCACAAAAGCTGAAGATGGCTGAAGTAGGATGACCCGGAGTCCAAACACCAGTGTTGAAGGGAGAAACAGCATTAAGACGGGTCCGGGTTCTTGGGTCGTATGACGTCTGCCATAAACGCTTTGTTCTTCTTCCTCGTCTGGACGGACTGGTCTTCACTCCTGCGAGTAGGTCAGGTCATCAGGTTCTGCGGAAAAGAAACCACGCCGTGCCTTTGCTCGATGCTTCTACCCTTCTTCTCATGGGCCGTCCAGGTGTCAGGGAAAACCGTGCGTGCGAGAAAACTTCCGCCTTCTTCTTCACCACATATCTGCCAGCAGCCCCCAGTTTCATTCCTTTGGTCCATTGAAAGTGCGGCGTATCTCTGTTCCACTTTCCTCGGTAGGTCGCTGCGCTGCTGGTGAGCGATCACACGAGCGGCCATGTGGTAGACTGGGCCAGGGCCACTAGGTGGCGCCGAGCGGGAAGGTGGGCAAAAGAAAGAAAGGACTGCTTGTCATACAAGAACGAGAAAGTCATAGAAAGTCCAAGTGGAATGCTGAGGTCAAAGTTTCAAGGATCCAAACCTCTCCAGAATCTGAACGTAGTTCTCTAGGATGGTTCTACTGGACTCTCTTTGAGCACTCATTTTGCCTTCCAACCACCGTGCTCCAGCCCCCTAAAAGGCCAATTTGGGGATGTCATGTGCAAGCTGTATGGAGGAAGGGGAGGCGGAGAAATGACTCACATCTCCAAAGTCATGCAGTTCATATGATGCCGCTGCCCAGCTCCAATGGAGTGCATATATGAGTCTTAATGCTCTAGTATGCTCTAAGTAGTTCACTTCGCCGAAAAAACACCCGCAACGGCGGTGGCGGTCGAACTGTTTGGTCGCTCGCTGACGAACAAAGCGAACTGCAGGACCGAAAGCAAGAGCAACAAATTGGTTGGTGGACATTTCATCGCGAATGAAGGTCTGTCACGCTTGTGTTCCCGGCACACATGAGCACACAAAGGTTCACCTTTTCCACCTGGTCTTTTCGGAATGGGGAACCCCAAAACGGCTCAAAAATGCCCCCCCAAAACGGCCCATTCAGGATGGCGAAAAGGATGGCTTCACTCACTGGATGCGAAAGGTGACGTTCCTCAGAGTCTTTGGACCGAGGAACGTTCTTCGGAGTTCTCGCTTTCATCGCTCCGTTCTTCACCTGTCTGCAGTGAGTGGGTGGGGCTGCCACTCACAGCCTGACAGCCGTGCTCCACTGAGGTTTGTGGTGCTCACACCGTGGTGCTCCACCTGAGGTTTCGAAGGCAAAGGCCTCTAAACTGCCCAGTGCTGCTCCAGATGCTTGGTTTTGGTCGAATGAAAACCATGGGAAGGTGCATGGTCCACGGATTGCTCCAACTCAGACTCGGCGCACTGGTGGATTCTCTCGGACAACCACTCCAAAACTCACGACATCCGAACACAACTTAAATACAACAAGTTGACAACCCCACTAGTCCATAACCCATGACCCCCAGGAAGGAAAAACAACAACACAACAAACCAAACCAAACACCACAAGTTGCAAATAAACCGATGATCCCTAGCCACACGGCCCCCCCCCAGGCAGGACTGTAACGCCTCGCCTTTCCCTTTGGCATCTCGGCTGCGGCTGCGTTCCCGCTCGAGCCGCTCTTCTGGATCTTCACCTGACGGATTCGATCGCTGCGCGTGGGGCGTGGAGGAACCCGACTCGGGCCCCACAGGGCCCCGAACGGCCCAGGACTCCTCAGGTGGTTCGGTGCTCAGATCCTCGCACCCATCCCTGGCCCATCGAACCGAAACAGAGGTAGTTGCCAGCCCTTGGGCCATCATTTTTCTTTGAGGTCATGTCCTGCACCTGATGGGGGCTATACGTATCGCGGGGGAGGTGGAATTCCTTCCATTCGCGTCTTAGACGCCGTGAAACGAATCCACGGGATATCTGGGGTGGAATTCCGACTCCTTCAGTTTCTCCTGGACAAGAAGTGGGGACACCGGGGACACCACTCCCCCAAGAAAAGGATACACCCCAGAAGATTAACATGGAAGTTGACAACCCCTGGGTTATAAAGGAAAATCGTCTTCTTCTCAGGTTCCATGTTAATCTTCGGGTGTGTAAAGGATGCTAAAGATTGTCCACTGACTGGGTCCTGACTTCCATCTTCTTCTTTTGAAAAAACACAGCTGCGTCCAGTGTCCAGTCCTTGCATGTTCTGTCTCTTTAGCCCCACCTCCATTCACCGCATCACCTGGCTTGGTGGCCTCGATGCCATCCTGACAGGGTCTTTGAGTCGGTACCACACGCTCCCTCGGGCAGGCCCTTTCTCTCTCACCAAGTCCTTTCGCATGCGAAAGAACAAAGGGTTATCAAATACATTGGTCAGGCTCCGAAGCCGTGGTTTTGGTTTCAACTTCTTTGGTGTATATGGTCCAATATGGTCCGCTATCTATACAGCTACCCGCGCGCAAAGAAAGGCAAGCACTCGGCTAGCGCAGCTCAAGTGCGGCTCAAGCAGCTGAATCCCAGGCATAGAAGGTGGTGAACTGCTTCTTTTCGCCCAGCATGGACGAGAACTTCCTCAGTTGGTGGCGCAAGATTCTCAAGCTCAAGCCCGGGGGCGGGGCATGCTGCATGCTCAAGCCTTTGGTCCCCACCTCAACCAATGGAATGTTACTCCCACTTCTCGGTGTTGTGATTCTTGAAACCGTTTGTGCCTATACCAGGAGTCACAAAGGGGTGGTTTTTAGTCGCTAAGTGAGTGGATCATGGGCACCCCTATCCTCTAATAGGCACCCCTTTGTGACTGCTGGTATCATATAACTGTGCGTGCTGTGTCTGAGATGCGGAGTCTGTCATCGTGACCCATACCTCGTCCCTGGCACCGGCATGCATCGGCCGATTTTTGCTGACCCCTTCGGACTCCAAACCACAGCAGTTTCCAACAGGTTCAACCAATGTTTCCACCCAATTTCAACCAGTTTCCAACAGCTCTTCTCAAATTTTCAACCAATGTTTCCACCCTTCTCAGGAACTTGACCATGGCATCCAGTCTTTGGCATCCACAGTCAGTTCAGTCAGTTCGCACCGAGCAGCGCGACGGGTTGGGCTAGGTGATTCTTCAGGGACTCTAAGCGCTGCGTCATGACCTCGGTCGCCGAGGGAGCGCGTCCGCGTCCGACCGGGCACAGAGCAGGAGCCTCCCCTGACGATCAGGATGACACCATTAGCACACCCAAACCATCGATGGGACTGGCGGGTTCTTATATACCGATCACTTGACTTGGGGTGGTTGGAGGGGTCGTTTTGGGCGGCTTATCTTCCAGTCCCATTCGCCTGGTCTGGGACATGCTGTCTTCAGAGTCCTTTACGGCGCGTGGCTCTCCTGGTCTCGCGTGGCTCTGGTGGGTCAAGAAGGGGCCCAAGGACCTATCAACAAACCGGTGGAAAAAGATGTCATGACTTCTCACTGTCCATTTTCATGCCAAGCGCCATCAATTCCTCTGTGGCTTCTATCGATGTTTTATATGGGAATCGCACTCATCCATCGGATTCATCGACCCACCGCAGGTTTGCCTTCGCTCTCGCCCAGTCGCCCGAGCCCAGTCGCCCGCCTGCCCGAAGCCGATGAGACTCTTTCGAGCCATCCGGACCTGCTGAGAGACGTAGGTCGTACGGCGGTTCCGCGTGCGCTTCCGCGTGGTACGGTACGTTCCGCGGGTACGAACGAAGCCATAAGCTTTTTGAAGGGGGAAGAACGTCAGGTAGGTGGATGAATCAAACAAAACCCAGAGATGGATGGAAAGTGATGGAAAAGCTCTTCATAGCAGGGAGGACTCATGAATCAACAGTCAACACTAGAGAGATGAGATGATTGGTTGGCGGGTGAGGGCATGCAGGTGGTTGGCCCTCAGAAGAGAACTTCATTGATCACTTTGGCCGCTTTGCTATGTACAAGCAAGACGCAAGGGTAACCCACCAGCTGTCAACCAAGGATTCCGAGCATATCATTTGTCAATCGGGGATGGAAGCGGACTGTGATGTCCGTCCTTGCGAAGAATTGAGGGGCCGGTGCCATATTTTGGGAAGACCCATGTCCAGAAAATGCACACATTGGTTCGCACAGTAATTAGTCGCCAATGGGTTGCCAGGTATGCTTGGGGAGGTCCCCTCCATCAATCAACCAACAGCAAAAGGCCATCTGATTGCGGCTCGAAGATTGGCTTGATGAGTCGACTCCCAATCTTCTTAGTTGGGAATATCCTATCGTCAGGGCCCAGTGGATGATGATGGGGCCTGGTTGGCCGACATGACGCACCCCTAACGCACCCAACGCATCCCTTCTGCCCCGAACGCTCAGCTGTAATGGAAAAAAGCGCTCGGTCCAACTCTGGGGTAGCTCTTTAAAGTGCCAAGGGGCTGAGTCGCGATCTCCCCACTCAGGTTTCCTTGGATTTGCTTGTTAGGAACCTGGAACAACATACAACATATTTTCCCACAATATTATGCACGGGATGCGCCCAGTTATAGGGAAACATATTTAAAAACGCCTGATCTATGCTAAACCAGGGTTTCAGTAGATCCAGGTCCAAGTCATCCAGGCGCTGCATGTCGTCTTGCACCTGAGTCGTTGCAGGGAGGGGGAAGCGGTGGGGTTGAGAGTCAGAGGTAAAAGCAAGTATACAATATGGTACCATTACCTCATATTTGGGCCTCCAACAAGGTGCTGGGTCAAGGGTTCAGCTCTTAAGTTCGTATGTCAGTCAGAAAAAAAAAAGGTTTGAGCTGAACTTGTGTAAACACCCTCTGGACAGATCCGATATGGACATGATTGTGTAAAAACATTCGAACACACATCTGTTTCCCCGCCTCTCTCCTGAGGCTTCGTTGACTGTCAAGCCCGACTGGTGATTCAGCGGGTGCTGAACACAGGCCATGACCATAGCTTGAGCCTGCCTCCCCCCGAAAGCTTTAGTTGACTTAGAACGACCCCACAGGGTCAGGATTCAGGATGCCTAAAGTGATCCAACACGCAAGCCTCCCAAAAAGAGAATAGCCCTCCAACCGAGAACTAGCGTCTGCCTAGCGCTTGCCTGCCGCAGGCACCTTGGTCAAGGCCTCTGAGACCATCTTGTTCACTTCCTGAGAGCTCCAAACACGGTCAGAACCCACACGACTTGGCCATTCCTCCATGGGCCGAACTCCAGAACTCTCTGGGCCTCTCAGGATGTCGGTCTGTGCCATTGGTCCTCTCAATCCACAACTGTCCACTGACTAAAAGATACAGTACCATAGTCAGTACAAACGAGGAACGTCGCCTTGCTTCCAGCACATCCTTGGCGCCTCTGCTGCTGCATCCCGCATCCCCAGGACCTTCAATCTCATGTACATCGGTTTTTTGCTGCCCAGTGGCCATGGTTCCCTCCGGTGGGAAATCCTTCGCAGCGATCCAGGGACCACATCTCTGGATCATCTGATTCACCTTCCGCGCCGGAGACCGGGCGAAACCAACACATCCGCCCGGGGTCGTTCGCTGCGGCGGGCGGTCTGCGAGCGGAGCACGGGATGGTTCGTTTTCGGCAGCACGGGACGAAGATCATGAAGCCACTTTCTGAGATTTGCATGGTGCTGATGCTTCCCTAGGGCTCCTGGCCCATATCCTCAGGTTCGGTGGTTAGACCCCCCTGGCACCCACCCCAACCATCTTCGAAACGGAGGTGGTTGGAGCCCTAGGGCTTGTTCATCTGAAACATCTATGAAAGTCGATGGAGTATATCCTCCCATACGGGTTTCAGCTGGCAAGTCATGGGCAGTTCATCGACACCATACACATCATATATACTTCACCTTCCTTCAAGTGAACTTCTCAGCACCTGAGCATACCTGGGCCAAGCCTTTCCGAGTTGAACTTCAACCCGCCTCGCTGATGCCCGCGAGCAATGCTTGGCCACAGGACTTGAGAACCGGATGGTCGGAGACCATCAACGCCTTGCCGAAACCGCGGACCGACGGACCGAAGAGCCGAGACTCGGATTGGCCGAAGGCACTCACGGGGTGATGCAGGGTGATGTCTTCAAAGCTGTTTCGAAGTGCCAGTGCTGGGCCATCCCACACAGCCAAATGGTGAAGGGTAAATCTACGGTGGTTGGTCAAGTGTGGGCAGGAGTTGAGCTGTATAAGGATGCCGGGTTCCATTGGTCATCATTTCTGTTCAACAGGCCTGGTTTTTCACTGCGGTCATTGCCTCTCAAGGCAACAGCCACCTGGTGTATCAACTATGGCTGGGGAGTAACCGATGTAACCCCACAGCCAAGTAAGAGATAGCAAGAGGACAGGATCAAGAAAGGCACCGGTTCAGCCCCTATCTACTTCTAATTACTTCTACTACTACTACTACTTCTTCTTCTATTCTGCTACTACTACTACTACTGCTACTACTACCACTACCACCACCACTACCATGACGACGAGGCTGCTGCTGCTGCAGCTGCTTGTTGTTAGGTGCTTTCTCCATTCACTCTCCCCCACCGCTTGCTAAAGGCTGGGAGTTGATGATACAACATCCATCATCACTAGACAAGTTGCCAAATCAAGTGATCCATCATCTTCCAACAAACTTGCATCAAACGACTTGGATGAACCATTGCTTGGCCGAGTCATTGCCGGCCCTAAACGGCCCCCGGTCGGCCCGTTGCAACGGAAGGATAAGCCAACTGAAGTTGTAAAGCTGATAGGAACATGCAGTAGTGACCGGTAGCAGGAGAATGAGAAACAATTCCGGTGCGTCACGTTGCATTTTTTTTGTTGACCTGGGTTCAAGATTGATCTGATTGAAGGCACTTGTTGGTTGCCACGTGACTGTGTGGAAGAATCGCTTCCAATATCTTCCAAAAAACAAAAAACTCTAACTCCATGTGCTTGAGCCACTGATGCCGCGACCGGAGAAAGCTGCTTTTTGAGGAGTCCGAGCTCTGCTACATCAGCATCAGTGTCAAGGAAGAAACTGTTCAACGTGAAGGCTCCTGCTTAAGGTTCACCTGAACAGTCTGGATCCCATCAGTCGAACGTTCGGGTTCTGAAGAAGCTCTGTTGCTACGCCCTGTGGCAGCAAAGGAGGAATCCATCTGGGAAAACAGTCCAAAGCACGCGACTGGTCGCTTGTCGCTTCCTGTTTCTCCGCGGGTTGAATAGGGCGTCGTTTGAGCTTGCAGACTGCACAGTCCAAGAATCATGTAGATTCATGGGTGCTTATAATTTCAATCCCTTCTCCCAAATCTGAAAGACAACCTCAACACGTGCCATACAGTATATACAGTAATTGTGTGTGCGCACTTCCATCTGATGGCCCTCAAACATGGCAGAAAACTGTCCTAGGTTCTTCACCGCGACCTTTTTGATCCCCCTGGAGGTCACTCACTAACTGGCCTCTAAAGCAGAGGGTCACTTAGGGACCTTAGGCACTCCAAAACAGGTCACGACCTTGAAAAGGCCATGTGCTATAGAAGCAGCTTTTGATTGGAGGATCGAACCGTTGGGGCCCGATGTGGGGCGAGGGCTAAGCCAGCCCGTTCTGGCCGAAGCCAGCCATCCAGGCTAATCCATCCCTACCGCTTTGTTCCACCCCCCGAAAGGGTGGGTTTTCAATGCGCCCAACTCTTGGAATCGGGCATGGGTAACCTACCGTATCGTCTTTTCGGGAGAACCTCTGCTCCTCCCAGATCAGGGACCCTCACTCCTTCAGTTTCTTCTGGTCAATGAAGGTTAACATGTTTCTACCTCGGTCATCCGGTGTCCAATAGACTACCCTACCTTACTTACAGGCCTCCATTGGACACCCATTGGAACTGCTAGGTACCTGTTCATCTGGCTCACTGGAAACCCCCACCGCTCCGATGGTGAAAAGGTATGCCACAGGCATCCGAATCCCTAGACGTCCAAGACCATTAAAAAAAGATGGTTGACCTGGTTTTTGGTAGTGTAAAATCCTTAGTTGATTCGGTAAAGCCTATTGAATCAATGGTGGTTGGAAGCCTAGGGGAATCGCAACAAAACTCCTGAGAGAAGCGATGACTGGCATCCGATGCCAACGGAAACTGCCGTCTCGTCACTCAGAGATACCAAGCCAGCCGATGAACCTGGACGGCAGAAACGGGCGGGGTGGGCAAAACCAACGCCAGTAGTGTCATGAATCTTTCGTTCAAGACCCCTGATCAAGGGTGTGCTGAGGTATGTTCAGATGATAGGGAGAGGAAAGAAGCTCCAAAAAACCTTCCTGGATCTGTTGCCTTTTGCAGTCTCCGGAGGCTTGGGACCGCCATCCCCTGATCGACCATCCCGACATATTCCGGCCGACGGATCACCCCAGCACCTGATCATAGGAAAAGGACCCCAAATGACCCTTCAGCTGGCCCAAACAATTCTTAGTATTACATAGTGGTTTCAGGAGTAGATGGCACCATCCCTAAGTTTGGTGGCTCACATCCCTATTACTAAGAAACACATGTAGGGGTAAGAGCGCCATTTACTTCTGGAAGCCACCCACTGCATGTAAATGAGATGGTGCTCAATTGCGCTAAAAATTAACACCACCCCTCGCAGGCTGAAGAACTGTGGTGCTGGAGATGCGGATGTGCTGAATGTGGTTGGCTGGGTCAAGGCCCAAACACCTAAACCTTGGTAAACCTTGACCTCCTTCTGTTCCTTTTCGGTACGACCCACAGCCATTTCTGAAGACACCCAAATCCCCACAATTCCTTGCACCTCCCACCATCTCTGGCTCCGATCTTTCCCGGTCCCCCTTCCTTTTCACGCTGCTTTTGGGTCTCTCGCAGTGGTCAAAGGCTGCACGAAAATCGCCCGTGAAGACGAGCCAAACGATCTTCCTGTCCCGGTCATAGTGCGCTGGACCGCACGGGACCCAAGAGGCGCTCTCGGCGGTTGTAGCCGAAGGCACCCTTCGCAGTTGAACACGCGCAGATGGGGCGCCGTTTCATGCGCCGTGAGTGACGACCGAGAACGAGCAAACAGGACATGTTCCATCCACGGCCAAAACAAAACAGTGCTTGCTGGTGTTTTCACGTCTCAACATGTCACACCGGTTTGTCACAGGATTTCTCATCTGCCTTGGAAGTCAAAGTTCAAGCAAATGAGATGCTTGTCCCATCAGTGAATTATCCCAATTTCCCATCTTGACGTGGTGGCTTCACACCATCTGCTTGCCTCAAAGGAGTCAGTCCATGATCGTTCGACTGGGCGAATTGCTGGGGATGAGCTGCTAATAAGGAAATGCCCAAAGAGAAAGCATATTGAAGCAGCTTTGCCTTGACAGTTTATAACAGGTCTAACTTTGAGTCACACTGCATACCCACTTTCTTTGGATACGATTCATACCGGGTCCCACCAAGCAAATGTCACCAACACTCTAATGATATGGTTTCGTCAGGGCCTGGTTGATTTATCATGGTGGACCTTGACTGGTCACCCTTGACTCGCCGGTCGCCCGACAAACTCGACGCCATTCGCCAAGTCACATGAGGTTCTTGCAAAGAACACCTGACAAACTCCAAGCTGGGAGTGTGGAGCACAACGGGGGAAAAACGATAGGATGTACCGTATATCATCGCATGTCATTTTATCTGCCTGGGCCTTCATATCATATAGGTCAATCCATGGACGCTGTCTAGGCACCGGGCCTTCACAGGGGTGTCACATGGAGATCCACCAGTAGTGCATTCCATTGGAGATCCCTGGTGCATAAATCCGCACACATATCGCATCTCTTGCTCCCTGCCCCTCCCTCAAAACTGCAGATTCAAGGCATTGCATAGTACAGCAAGCCTACTTGAAAGAACCTCTTTAAGGATACTTGGTGTCATAAGGTGCTATCATCTTGCAAACCTTGTAGTGCTATCGTCTTCTCAAGCCCTGTCAGTTTAGGCAGGGGAACGGGGGAAGGAGAGGAGGCCCGCAAAACAACTATATTAGACACATAGACCATTAGTCAAAATTAGTCATGTGTTAGATGGTTCATGCATTGGACTATGTCAGACTCAATCGTCATGGAATGGAGTCAAAAGGATCAAGGCTTCCCCTAGCTGGGGATGATAGGCACCTCATCTGAACCCATCAAGCCTCCCACAACACCAAACACACAGACCGACCCCTTCGTCGGGGAAGACTTCACACATATGCAGCCCTTACCGACCAAAGGCACCCAGCCCGAGACGGGTCTCTTCCCTCCTCCCCCAACTCGTTCGGTTCAAGGCGCCCTTGGTATTTTTCACCTCGAGAGCGCTCAGCAACACGAAGGGCATCACATTATCCCATTTCTCCGGAACCTGGCAACAACACAAGCGGCTGTGCCAGGCAACCGCCTCTCCAAGGTGCGCTGTATACCAGTCTTGGCGGCTGCCCAGTGAAAAACAAGTGGATGATGGGAGCCGGGTAGGTAGAGGAGGACGCCCAAAGTCTTTAACAAACCTAATTAAATGAGATCTGGTGGTTCTGGACCATTTGCTGCAGCGGGGATTGTTTTGAGTGGTTCGTGTTCTGATTTGGCCACAAATGGCATCATATGGCCACAAGGGGAAAGCAAACATGCTCGCGAAAAGTGGCTTCTAGCAAACCAGAAAACCGCACAACCCCAGACCTATTTTCCAACCAGTTCTGTCCATATATAGTATATGTTGTGTCATCCCTTTCTTCAACACACACCTGAGGCAGGCACAATTCAACAGGCTTGTCAATCCAACACTCCATGGGACTGGAACATATGGCTACATGGACCCCCCTTTTGAAATCACCCCAACTGATCAGCAAGTTTGGGCCAGTCCCAGACAGGACATGTTTGGGAATTGGACATCCTCGTGCAGCCAGTCATTGGATTCCAACCAGCCAGCCGCTGAGGGCGGCACGTCCATCTTGCAAATTCGATACACCTGCATCCATCCGCAAACAGGGCGTTTCAAAAGCAAGCGAAACAGATTCATCTGTCTCAAAACGGTTTTGCCAAATGATCAAGGGCCGCTTCTTGAAATATAGACACGTCACAAACACTCAATGGATCTGAACGTTGACATTTGCAATCACTAATGTCACTCTGTAGCCTCTACAAACATCAGCACCGACAAAACGGTGCTCGACCCCGGTTCTAGTCTTGTTGCTTTGATGAATCGTCGTGGTGGCTCTATGCAAGGCAATATCGTCGCCGGATGTCATACATCTGAGTGCCAAGCGGTCATGTAATTGTCCTCAGTATGGCCAGCAGGGCGGTTCATGTACTGTGTCCAGTAGTTAACGCAACAAGCCTCTCATGCTCCAAACAAAAATGGAACGACGAGCGGTGCGCGGGGATCAACATCTGCCTTGCAATGGACCACCATTTCAAGGGACAATATGCAAATCCCGTGGAAGAGGTTCAAGAACAGTTCAACCCAGGCAGAATCATATCATGTATTATACACTGTATGTATATATATATGTTTGTGTCGATCTATAGTATTCTATAGTTCCTTTTGCCAGTTGGTTTGGATGTTGCCCCAACTTTGAGCCCTAGCCGCTTGGTGCCTGGCACCAACTCCACATTCGCCAAGTGGCTTCCGCATGCCAGCATGAACTACACCAACCATCTTCGCAGGAGTAGCGAACATTGGCACCCAGAGTCTCTTCGCAGGCCCGCAGGAGAGCTCCACGTTTGTAGGTGCCCATCTTCAAGGATGGCTTCCAAACAATCTTCACCTCAGAACAAACTATATTATCATGACAACAGGGCACATGGTGGTGCCGATTGCAATGACCTGCGCTCTTCTCACCCAGATCAACCTAATGAGAAGAGCCTGCGGGAGACAATGGTCGTCAGCGGGAAACAAGGCCGAATTGAATGAACATGGCGCCCGCGAGTTGAATGAACAAGTGTGTCTTCCCCCGAAGATTGCTCAACCACGGCGTGTGGGGATGCAGAACAGGTGACAGATCCTCCCAAGCCATGGCTTGGGAACCCATATCACTGGTATGAACCAGTTCTGATGGACTAAGACTGGGACCGGTCCGGTCAAATAGTTCCGCACTAACTTCAAGGTCACCGTGTCTCCTGGCGAAGTGGCGACGCTTTTCGTGAAGACGCTTGACGTAGACCGTTACGTTCACCGTCTCGATGTCTGAAGCTTTCAGGGCTCCAGTCCAATGGTCCAAAGACCTACACACCCTACACACCCTCAAGATCCTACACAATCTTGAGGGCTCCAGTCAGGCACTGAGGAGGGGCCCTATGTTCCAACAAGCCTCTTTCCCTTCTTCCCTTTCATCGAATCCGAAGTGAGACTCCCGACTTTCGTGCTCACGCGCTGCCGCGCGCTCACAAGCTCACGGTTCGACGCTCCCCAACAATTCATCGTCTCAGCTCCCAGCCCGGGAGAATGCCGCGTCATCGAACACACACAACAATGTGTTCCCTTCTGCTGCTAGGGGGATGGAAACATTCACGCATCACCCGAGAACCGCCAAACCAACTGCTACGTCGATGCCGTGCCTGGAGATTCCTTCACCAACTTCGACACGGTCTCCAAGTCCTTCCCTGCCAGGAGGGACGTCCGGGGTCTGCATGAAGACGATTCACCGAATCCGATGATACGAAGCAAGCAAAAGGTGTGGGAGGATGCTTAGGAAACAAAATAGGCAGGATTAGGCAGGGGTGATCACATACAACTCCCCCCAACAGAAGGCAACTGAAGGGGTGGTTTTAGTCCAGTGAGTGGAGTAGCTGGGCGGATGTGATACAAGTTTCAAGGTCAGCGAGGTTTCGACCAAAAACTCTCAAGTGGGCTGAGACTTCTAATTAATAATTCACTTGCTAATTAAAAATTCATTCTTCAAGTGGTGGTGCTAATTGATAATTCATTCCAAACTTCACCTTTTGACAGAATGAATGATCAATTACCACCACCAGCACCAGCAGCAGCAGCACCAGCAATTGGTCCTGTTATCACCCGGATAACATCAAGCCGCCTCCCCGTGCCACCCGCGTCACATCCACAGAGGACCCCGTGAGGCGAGCCGAAGCGGGCCTTCACAAATGGTGTCGTTCACGCCCACCACTTCATCCCCCTCAAGCACAAACATTCCCGGAACCTCATCCAGGTGCGTGGTGGAACCCACCGGCTATCGGCTTGAAAGAAGAAGAAGACGCTGCAAAACGTCACAGGGCGTCAGGTTTATATATTAAAGACATTGAAACCGCTTCTCTGATGTTCTCGGTCGGTGTCTCAAGGACACAAACACAACATAAAACAACTCAAAGGATCTCGCATCCAGATTATAAAAATATGTGTATGAGTTCGGCCATGTATCATCATGGTCATATCATGCTCGTAGTCCGCACTGCTCTATCCAAGTGGCATCTTCCAGCAAGACCTTTTTGTTCCAGAACTCCTTAGATCCGGTCGTGACCGACCATTCCGGTCGACCGGGGGCCGAGGGAACGGTCGAGAAGTGACCGGTGGCCGAACTTGCCCTCAGATCCTCCAATTGCAACACCAAGCCTCGGTATTGCCACCTGGCCACGGGAGTGACACACCAAAAAATAATCTATTCCCGAATTTGACCCGTGAGTTGAGGAGGAAGAAAGCACGTGTGCATGAATTGGTATGAAGTACCATGGTAATGAATTCGTTCACCACTGGATGACTAAACCGAACAGTCGGAATCTTGGATGAAGAAACTCACTGCAGCCATTTGGGCCATTGGACCTGTGAGAAACTGACGCAGTTCCTCCTCCACCTGGGTCAGACACCCCGCACCTTCCTTGATCTTGGCGATGCCCACGCCGGGTCTGTTGGGGAAGTTCTTCGGCGTCAGCCCCAAAGGCTTCAGCAAGGTGACGTCGAACACGGCACGGCCACCCTCGATGCGCTTCCTCGCGTGCGTGCCAGACCGCCAGGCCCCGACATAACACCAGGTGTCGGAGTCTCCAGTGGATGGTTCTGGAGATCAACTCCCCATGAAGAATCGTGATATATGATATATGTTTATGAAAAACCGTTTGGATTGTAAAACCTCCTCATAGGGGGTGGAAATACATGCATTTACAGCCTTTACAGCCGTGATACGATAGAAGGAGGTTTTTCCGGGCCAATGCCTTGCAGGCATCATTCGGTCAGGTCGGAAACCGGCCAAGGCCTGCCTTCGGCCCCCCGGTCACCTTCGGCCCGGTCAGGATGTGGAGGTGATGACTCCATGGAGACAGGAGTGGCGACTAGGTCGACTAGCGTGGGCTCCAAAAATGGTGGCGAAAGAATCAGTCACACTTCGCATGATGTTACATTCATTTTGAATCAGATCTGGTGGGCCGTTCTTCCTGGAAGACCACAAAATCTGGAAGAATCGCCAAGCTCTTCAATCAAATTCCCGGCGCCAGTGATGCCACCCAGTCACACCCGCTTGTTCCACTGGGCGACCGTAGCTCTGCACTGTACGTGCCGAGAACCGTGTGGCCTGCCACGGCGGCACTGCGCTGCCACCAAGCTGGTCAGTCCCAACAGCACCGCCGCAGGGCTACACGATGTGCCCGATGTCACTGGCTTGAAGTGAAGACCTGCCAACTATGGCCATCCAATGTGGCAAAGATTGAAACAGCACCGATGTCACAGAATCATAGGAACAGTAAGAACGGGTTTTCTTGGGAATATTTTTGTGTTATTGATTGCAGCATCGTGTGCATTTTTGGAATGTTGCATGAAGGGAGGAGCGTGGCCTCTGCAAAAATATCGGCCCTACTCTGCCAGCAAATTATGTTTTACTGACGGCCTTGTGGTCATAAGGCCTAAACGCGAAAATACTATGGCTCTCATCAATGAACACCTGAACTGCATGCTGGCTGATATTGCCCCAGTGTACATCATGATTCTGGGGCTCCAGCTGCTAGAACTTCTGCTTCCGACAGCCAATGGGACATTGGTGCCGCCAGGAGCCACGAAGGAAACTGGTCGCAAGTTGGCACAAGCCAAGACTAACACCACCTTTGATGCGAAAAGACGACACTCACAAAACAAAAACGTTGCCTTCCGTGATCCTTAAACATGTCAGTGGTGCAAAAAGCATCAGGTTGACCCGTCTGCATCACAAAAGTCCAGTATAATAAATTTTCAACATATGGGATGCTACCCATCTGGTGATGGGAAGCCAAGATGGAAGCACGTCTCTACTTGCAGCAGTTCTTGCCGGATGTTGGTCGTCAAGTTCTTGCTCAAATGGCTTTCATTGTTGGAAGCCCCAAAAATGGCCTCTACTACAGCTTCAATGCCCAAAAATCGAGAACAACGACATCCTTTTGAGAATGGCAGAAACACCATAATAGGTGCCATATGGTGCCATAAACTGGACTTGGTTGCACACGACCAAGGTGCAAAAGACCTCTATTCATCCAGCAAGAAACAGCTAAAAAAATGCTACTTAAAGTGCCGACCTCCTCACCTTCCCTGGAAGATAAGGGGAGGTTGAACAACCGAGCCTTTCCCAAATCCCCCCCAAGGGTCATCCACGGAGGCTTATCTATGCTTGCAGCCTTGCCACCAACAGTAGGCTCAGCACTTGCGGCGCCATGGCCGGCCTCCGCTTCACAGGACCCAATCTGATGCACCGCGAGGCACCCGCAGCCAAAAATGCCAGCGAGGAGAGCGAGACCTTGGATTGGCCTAAACAGCTGGATTTGGCACATCTCTTCCCCATGCGAAAAAATTGAACCCAGGAAGTGTTGGAACATCACCCTTGACTTCCACCAAAGCAAGGCATGGCCAAAAGTAGAGGATAAACTGGTCTTCTAAAGGTCCCTCGAAGACCCCACTGATCTAGACCATGTCTTCGGTGTCAACCGCGCGCGCTGCGATCTGCTGAGGTCGGTGCGATCTTCTGAGGTCTGCGCTAGTAGGGTGCGGATCGTCCCTGAGAAAGGCAGTTCTCGCTTCGTTTTCCACGGGGAAGGGCAGCCGATAGGTCCTTCAAGAGACTGGGCAGCCAACAGACATTTTGACGCTATCCTCTTAATTTGGTCTACCAATTGGTTGACAGACACATACTCAAGTGTTTTTGGTGCTTGCATGGCATGTTTTCTATGTTTTTGGATGCTGGATTGGAGACTTCTGTGTAGCAGTCGAACCAAGAAGTTGGAACGCCTTGACTCCTGGGGATGCCAAGAACAAGAAGTTGGGAGACCCTTCCAACGCCTCTGTCACTAGCTGCTGCTAACTAAAGAGGGAGCAAAGATGGGTAGTTCGCTTTCTTGCACCTTCAACTCCATGCCAGGTTACGGCTTGGGTCGGATTAGACAAAACAAAATCTACTGTTACTGTATACAGCTTACAGAGCAACCAGAAACGTTACTTGAAAGGGGTCAGGATGTTTCACTGACCCCTTTCTCATCTTGTCTTGCCATAAATCAAGAATTGAGGCAACGTGCTACTGAATTTCTCCACCTTGAACCCATCGGAAAGCCTCCCAATGCAAGAAAGTTCTTGCGTAAACTTCAAAAATATAGGCTAACAGCCTTCAAACAATGCGCTGAGGGAAGAACAATTATTATGGGCTAGTACGGGCAAAGTACGGGTTTTGCACAGGTTGTGAAAACATCATGTTTGTCAAATACCCCGTCCGAGGTATTTTGTACAAGTCAAGTACGGGTATGGCCCAGCGTTGAAATCCACCCGTTATTTCGTCTAAGTGTCACTTCTCACATGTCAAGATCATGTTCTCCACGACTCTGTATATAGTTATTCGCCAGGCAAAAACGTTCTATGAATTGTGTGCATTGTTGATTATCTTTGTGCAGTATGCGAGCTTGGTGGAGGAATGACATCGGGACCTCAGGCACTTAACGGACGCCCATTCAACGTGCCGATTCATCAACAAGAGCCCTTCAGAATGTCAAGAACAACGGGTTCCTGAAGAACCCGATGTTTTTGACCAAACTCAATGTATTTCAGACTGTGAAAACCCGATGTTTGGGTGTTCACCCCATTGAGAAAGAAACGGGTTTATAGTGATGGTTTTGGTGCTGAATATGTATATATAAAATACATATATATTGGGTCTATCCTATCACCAGTAACAGTGGATGATGATGGTTCAGTTGCAGGCCTTGTTTAAAGAAATGTGATGATTGTTTACTGACTGCTACAGATTTCCTAGGACAGAATACGTATGCCTAGAACCTGAATGACCTCTATTTTGGACCACCCACCGCCCAAAATATGGTCTTTTCCGATCAGAATAGAGGTTGGGCTCCAGGTGTGTAATATGTATATCATCACATGCATGATGCAACTGGCTGATGGCTTAAATCTCCACGGCAGAACCGGGTCTCCAGGTCTCTGGGGCCGTGGCGAGCATCATGCCGGGGCGGCCGGGGCCGGGGCGAGTTCCTGGCGCGCTCGATGTGAACGAAGCGGGCGAGGCGAACGGCGGAAAACGTCACCTTTATCGGAAACCGATAGGGAAAGCTTTCAGGGTTTGTGTGCCACAAACTGCTCAGAAGTCAGACTTTGTTTAGGTGTTGTGTTTCATGATTGGCCCAAAGTTGTGCAAATCTATGCAGTTGGTGCGCGTAATGTCATGATTCTTCAAGTGGATTGCCCTACATGTCCCCTCTTCCATCCCACACGTGGGAGGAAGAAGGCGCACACACACAATTGGACCACATGCATTGGACCACATCATCTGCGGAAAGGGTCTCACCGATCTAGGGGAATCGTTCGGGCCCTCAAACAGGACGCTCAAGTTGTTCCAATTGTAGTGAGAACGTCGCAGAAACAAAGAACACACAAGAATACCATTGGCATCAACAAAGCAGTTGAAGTACAGCCAAGAGTAACTTAATATCCCTAGGGATCCAAGTACCTTCTGAGTGTCTCCAATCACCTTCTGAGAAGGTACTTGGATCCCTAGGGTATAGAGCATGGTGAAGTTGAGCAAACACACCTACAAACAAAAACAAGCACCCAAACACCCAACGACCCCCGCCTTTGCCGCCGTCCATAGGCATAGGCACTTTCTCCGACGCCTAAGAGGCGAGCAAATCGAGGCCACCAGGAGTCACAAAGGGGATCAAAGGGGTGCCGAACGAACGGAGGTAGGAGTGAGGTGCCCCTGTCACATCCACTCACTGGCTGGGATACACCACCCAACTCCATGTGAATTGTGACTGACCAGGGTGCACTGGTATAGTGAGTCACCTGTGTCTACCTCCACGTCGGATGGTCTGACCTCACTTCGGAGGGGTCGGTGGGTGTGGGTCGTTGCCGGCCGTCCCCCAGATGATCCGAGGCTCGGACTGATGATGTGACCAGCCCAGACACGACCCGTCTGGGACTGCCGCCCCGGACAGACCCCCCAATACCATCCCAATGGAGGCATAGATGGCAGTCCCAGACAGGTCGCGTCTGGGCAGTGAAGCCTGCGTCTAGCGGCTCTAGCGGCTTAGCCCCAGCAGCGACACGCGTCGGGCGCCGGTGCGATCTTCAGTCCTTCCACCACTCCTACATCCCACTTACACCCCACTCCTACTCTCACTCACTCCCACTCCGACACCTGATCTTCATCACTTCACTACACCCCACCACTCCTCAGCTGCTCAGCTCCCCGGCAGGCTGCCCTTCAGGTCGCACATCGTCCGCACGCTGGCGCCCGGTCTTGGGATCTGAGATGACGTTGAAGGACACGCGCGTGCCGGCGGGAGGGATCACCTGGCAGAAGCGGGTTGCCGGCGGGTTGCGGAGGTTTGGAGGTCCAAGCCTTTGGATGGAAAGTGCATGGATCACCGACTATCAAGAGCATGGGTCATTGACTTGGGGGCATGCCCTCCATGACAGAAGAATATGACATGGGAGTGGTCATTTGGATCCTAGTTCCGACCAATCCTGTACGTGAGCAGCCGGGTGATTCTTTAAATCAAGCGATAGTTGAGAATCGGGCCACCTATGGCTGAGAATCGGATGGGTAGGTGGAGTGGGGTAGGTGCTGTAGGATGTGGATTTGATGAGTCTTCCGAGCTGTGACAGGCCTTTCTATGACCAGGCGACAAGCCGGCCTCTTTGGCTGCCTAAATGCTAGAGGAGTCTTCCATGCTGCACTTTCTCGTCGGCAAATCACGCTGAAAGGGGTAAGAAAGGGCGATCTCGCTGAACTATGTGAGTGAGTTATTATATGAGTTATTGTTGAGCATGATTTTGGAAAGCCTTCTGGCTGGACCCCCGGTCGGGGTGGTTCATGGACACGAGGTCAAGGGGCTACTAATGGACACCCGGAATCCGTGGTGCTGGTGGGTGTTGGTTGAGGTCTGCTTTCCCTCAACCCGCCGCAGACCCCCAGAGTTGGGAGAAGACAACAGCGGGAGGCTCGCGGTCCAAACACGGTCGCTGACCGAAGCGGGTTCGGAAGCTGGAAAAACATACAGCATTGCAGTGTCCCACGTCAGGGGATTTTACGAACACTTCGGGAAAATCAAAAAAAAACACCACATCACCAATATAATAAGCTAAACATAGCAAAACCATGGTAGCAGTTGGTTCGTGTCCAGGGTTGCGTCTGGCTGATGAATCTCGTGCTGATGGACCTGAGCTCCTCTGGAAAATCCCACCGGTCCCCAGAATCCTTGCTTTGAGGTTGGAGGCCATCGCTCTTAGGTTCCCTAGGGATCCAAGTACCTTCTCAGAAGGTACTTGGACCCTCAAAACCTACATAAGAGTGTCCCCAATCACCTTCTGAGAAGGTACTTGGATCCCTAGGGGTCTTCTTCCATTTAGAATCCACCATTGCCATTGGATTGGAGGCCAACGTGTTGAAATCCTTGGATGTTCGCGGATTTTGGGCCCGGAGAGAGGCAGGTTCGGTGCCCCCAAGGCGCCATTCCCAAAACCACCCTCCGGGCACTTTGTCAAAGGCAACGCAGGAGAGGGGCAGCACAAACATCGCCTGGCGGCATCGATTCGTGTGGACAGATCGCTGGTTGATGCGGGTGAGGCAGTTGATGCCTTTGGTTTAGGGTGATGCGGGGAACACATACTGTAAGGCTTACTACCTGGATCTTCCAACTGCGCCCACGTTCAACGCTTCGGGGCACATGAAGTCTGCCTTTTGGTTCGGAAGATTGGAAGTTCCAGGCCTTGGGCGGTTACTTCTTGAGCCTTCTGGGGAGAAGAAGATGAATCCTTTGCATGTCCATATTCAACAAAGTCCCACATCTACCCCTCCAACAGGGGCCCTTCGGTGATCAACTCCAAGGAATCCGAGGTAGAAGTATCTCAGTTCCCTTCAAAACATGTAACTGCCTGGCCACCTGCAACTGCCTGGAGTCTCAGTTCTTACCTCGATGGGTCCACTTTTCCTGGACAAGGGTCGGAGTTTTATCGTTTTCTCTCTCTCTCTCTCCTTGAAGCCACGCGAATTGCCGAGAAGAAATGCATTGAGCAAGTAAATCCCCACACACACACACACACATGGGCTAAATGGAAGAATTAGCACTCTAAAGCACAGGCATTTCAATGGCTAAATCCTCTTATCTACCTTCACTGGGCCCAATAGAAATCCTTGCAGAAGCTGCCCGGTTCAGCTCGGCAGCTGCCCGGTTCAGCTCGGCCTCACCATCATCTTGAAGAATAAAGCCAAACCTCAGCTGCTGGATGTCTGGATGGAGGACGACGTCCAGGATGGGTCCCACCATCCTCAGACCTACCCCT